ATTTTTGGTAGAACTATTGTAGAACTGTTTTTACAAGGCTGATTAATTAGCGTTCAGAAATGACAGAATTTACTGAATTGAATGTGCAGGCATGTGAAAACATGACAAAAACTGAGCAAATTCAAGTGCAGTGAAAAGCTGCTGTATAACTCTCCTGCTACTACAGGCAGTCACCTTGTGGTTAAACATACTGAGAGAAAATAAAGACTAGTCTGACGTGAATAACTTTTACGTGTGATGCAAGGACAGATCGCCAAATCTTATAGCTGAAATGATGGCCAACGGCTTGCTGGAACAAGATGTGCTGTTAGAATACTCATTTGTTTCTCTTTGTCTGTAATCTAATGCACTTAACTAGCTTACAGTATCGACATACTTTATTACATTACATTATCTACCACTTTTTAACCTGGTCAGTTGGGTGTCTGGGAAACCAAAACATGGGGACCAAACTGGAGCTTTAACTTGCGCAGCAAGCTAGCTAGTGAAGTGTCCCCTATAGATGGGTATTATTTTTGCTGATATTTATTCTTTAAGCTCTATAATAGAATAAAACATCTGATTTTATTGTAAAGCACTATACACTTCCCAGCCACTTTAATAGGAACACCTGTCTATTTGCTCATTCATGCATTCATCCATTTTGATGTTTGATGTGATCTCAGTGACTTTGACCTTGGCGATGGTTGTTGTTGCCAGACGAGCAGGTTTTGAGTATTTCAGAAACTGACTGTCTTCTACAATGTTCAATTTTCAAGCACAACTGTCTGCAGAGTTTACGCAGAAAGGTGCGGAAAACAAAAAAACATCCATTTAATGCAAGTTCTGTAGGCAGAAACAACTTATTGATGAGAGAGGTCAGACTGGTTCAAGCTGACAGGAATAGGCACTTACTCGAGGAATATATCACCTCACCTCTAAAATACGGTGCTGCAGTAAAGTTTGGCATTTTTCTTATATCTTCATTGTTCACATTTTGTGACCAGACTGTTTATTTCATGATGGATAGGTGGCTTCATGTCACTCTGTAGCTTATAAACTGTCATCAGCTGTCTAAGTCTCTACTCTTAGTACAGATATTACAGATGTTCACACCTGTTTTAAAGAATGTTGACGTCCAGTTGTTTGTCTCAGTGATTACTTTTTCCACACATTTCACTGTCAGACAATTTGTCTATTCATCTGCGTATGAATGTACTTTCATAAATCTAGCTCACTGGGAAACTTGTCCAGCAGCATGCCATATAAATCCTCTCTCAGTTCTTAGGGTTTCAAACTTAGGCTAATCACACACAAACACACACTGTGGCCAACTGCCAGGGTAACTAATCATGTGGTTTTGGGTGGAACATGAGACAGCTTCTGTGTGTGTGTGTGTGTGTGTGTGTGCTGGTTGCATTCAGACTCCAGTCAGTCCATCATCACTAACCTCTAACCTCTCAGCAGCAATGAAAGATCACCCAGATTACACAGAGCTTATTGCAGATTCCAGAAGGCCTACATGAGCAGAGAGAGACAAAGAGATGGAGAAAAGTGAAGCAGACGATAAGCGTATGAGTGATTCACGCTCTGTAGAGGAGTTCAGTGCAGTTATGTAGAATATAGTCATATGAAACCGTGACAATAGGCTGATGTGTAAAAAATAGTTGCTGACTACTTTCCCTCACCAGCTGTCTTTTTGTACTTGGGTCTTACTCCCCTTTCCACTGCTCGATAGAATAATCTGTTTCATTATAGCCAAGAATAACATTTCTAAGCACCAGTGAGCATTCACAATCCTGGCAATACTTGTATTACATCACAGCACTGTTTTTCTCAAATCAAATTCTCAAATCTGATTGTTCAGAGGATTTTTTTTATTAACTACGCTAATGGACTGTAATGTTAGGGTTTCTGCAGAAACAGCTTTTATGACAGATGCTCCATAAAAATGGGCTAAAAATCAAAATGGATGATATATATAGGCTACATATGGTCTTTTTTTTTCAATTATCAATTGACAAGTTTCAGTGACCCTGTGCCCATTGTAGCCTCAGATTCCTGTCCATGGCTGATGGTCTAACTCCTCAAGGTTCGACATGATGTGAGTTCAGAGATGCCTTTTTGCTCACCACAGTTGCTTTGCACCAGTCTAGCCATTCTGCTCTGACCTTTCTCATCAGCAAGGTGTTTCCACCCACAGAGCTGCCGTTAAGTGGATGTTTTTTGTTTTTTCTGTGTAAACTCTAGAGATCGTTGTGCGTGAAAATCCCAGGAGATCAGCAGTTTCTGAAATACTCGAACAGCCTTCCATGGTCAAATTAACTGAGATCACATTTTTTCCCTTGTTCTGATGTTTGATATGAAAATTTCCTGAAGCTCTTGACCTGTATCTGCATGATTTTATGCATTGTGCTGCTGCCACTTGATTGGCTAATTGGAAAATTGCATGAATGTGAAGATGTACAGGTGTTCCTAATAAAGTGGATGGAAACTGAATTTGTGGGCTCAGTGTAAGGGATGATGGGATTTAGTTATTTCTTGTCTTTTTTGTTTGTAAATGGAAAAAACTACAACCACTACTTACTTTTATATCAGCTGCATGTTGATTTTGCAGAAGAGCCAAGATCTCTTACTATAACTATGAGTCTAGGGAAAATTCTATATAAAAGCATATCACGGTTGGGCAGGAATATATGAACTTAAACAAACTGGTGCTTGAAGAACTTTGTGCATCCGCCTGTGTCAGTGTTCCATACTGCCACATTTCCTGGAAATGTGTAGAGAGAATAAAGACACCAGTTCACAGGAAGGGGAAAGAGTGTCAACAGGATGTCCTGAGGAACAGATGGAACCTAGACAACACTGCCCCCCGCCAGCCCCCCACTTCCAATTTTACCCCAACACTGAGACACTCAGACACACATCCACACTACAGGACATGAGTACATGCGCATGCTACCTGTCAGTCATGAACCTGGTATTTGAGATAATCCTCTTCCTCTATATCATAATTGTTTTATATATTTGTACTGTGTTAATAATAGTAAACGCTTTTAAAAGCTCTTTTGTTAGTGTGTATATCTTTCGAGCATGGGTGTGTGCGTGTGTGTGAGTCATACACAGGCTTTAGGGAGTATACCCGACTGAGAAGGGCTTAACATGCTTCAGGGCTGATTGTACTTCAAGCAGTCTGACTGGTTTTAAAATTTTTCTTTCTGCTCACTTAAACGTCAGACCCCAGCAGTGTGACGTGGCTTAGACCCCACCCACTCTACACCATTTATCTCATCTATACATGCATGGTCAGGGATTAGGGGTGAAGGGTCAACACCTGTCTCTCCTTTAATTTCAGATGATTGTTAGCCTTCTGAAAAACGAGGCACAACTGGGATTCCTTTGAAGACACAGATAAAACCATGGCTAATCTTTTTGGCACGGCTAAATCCTGAAGGCAGGACATGTAGAGACTTGGGTGTTACACAGTTAGTTAAGTGATGTGTTCGTAATGAAGCCTGAAGTCTACATATCCCAAGGAGGATTTGATTTGTTGATAGTAGTCCAGGTCCTGCAGGACACGAGTCTAAATACACACCCACTGAAGTCTGTAAATACTGTAGCGATTTCATGCTCTGTGAATTTTGTATATTTTCCTTGCTTCTTCCTACCAGCTCTTTTCTGTGCTTGGGTTAGATATGGTAATGAGCCATGTCTTGCCATTATCCTGCCATGGTGTCTCCTCCCTGTTTGTACACGGCAAGCTCAAGGTGACGTCTGATACTCTGTCACCCTCTAGTGGCCCATCTAAGAAGCACTGACACTAAAGGACTGTATTTTATGTTAATCCTTTAAACAGGTAGCACTGGTGCTAGAAAAAATGCAGCTATTGCAGGAGAGATAAAAACACTGTATTACTGAAATAAAAAGTCCACAGTGTTAATCCATGTAAGGGGTAGAATACAGCATTTTCATGGCTTTATTCCAAATTAGAAAGCCTTTATTGTGACATGTACTTGTACTTGTACTTGTATATTATAGATAACTTCATGTCATCACTCATCCCAGCTTGGGTCAGAGCCAATGATACAATCATGGTCAGCCATGATACAGATCCCTTGGAGCAGAGAGGTTTACAAGTCTTACTCAACGGTGGCAGCTTGACTGTGCTGGGATTTACCTCACAACCTTCTGATCAGTAGGCCAGAACTGTCACCATGGAACCTGAACCATTGAGCCACCACTGCCTCATTAAAAGTTGAAATAATGTATGTGTAGTTGCATTTCCCACACCAATGTGGATAATTTAACACATTTAACATTGTTGTACACAACAGGATACAAAGTCTTTTTGACAATTCATACAATCCCCTGTCACTTTATTAGGAACACCTGTACACCTGCTCTTTCATGCAGTTACCCAATCAGCCAATGATGTGGAAACAGTGCGAAGCAAATCGTACATATACAGGTCAAGAGCTTCAGGTAATGAAACTAGATAGTTAAAGATTAGTTAAAGATCTAGGTGACAGCTTGTTGAATCTTATTGAGTGTCTAATTTTAGTGAGTCTGTGCCGACTGTAGACTCAGATTCCTGTTCTTGGCAGACAGGAGTGGAACCCAGTGTGGTCTTCTGGTGTTATAGCCCTTCCTCCTCAAGGTGCGGTGTCTTGTCCTTTCTGAGATGCTTTTCTGCTCACCATGGTTGTAAAGAGTGGCAATATGAGTAAGCTCAAATCTGACTTCCTATCAGATCAAACCAGCCTGGCCATCCTCTTAGCTCTCATCAAGAAGCCACTTCCTCCCACAGAACTCACTGGATGCTTTTGTTTTTTTGTTTGTTTGTTTTTATGTATTACCATTCTGTATTTCAGAAATACTCAAACCAGCTTGACTGGACCAACAGACGTGCCATAGTCACTCAGATCACATTTGTCCCCTTTCTGTTGTTTGATATGAACTTTATATGCATAATTATATGCATAATATATCTGTATATGCATAATTGTATGCATTACACTGGGTCACTGGAGGACTAGTGGCTAGGCCACGGTGCTCTCACTGTCGCAGCCTGGGTTCGATTCCCGGCCAGGCAACCAACCCCAGCTCAAGACAGGGCACTTCCAGTGCCGGTCCCCAGCCTGGGTAAAATTGGGGAGGGTTGTGTCAGGAAGGGCATCCCGTGTAAAAACTGTGCCAAATCAAATATTCGGACCAGTGATCCGCTGTGGCGACACCTAATGGGAGCAACCGAAAGAGGAACAACAATTGTATGCAATACACTATTTGGCTGATTGGATAATTGCATGAATGAGCATGTGTACAGGTATTCCTAATAAAGTGGCCAGTGAGTGCATATTAATTAAATATTGTGCAATATGTGATGGCATCAGAGTAATGTACTACAAATGAAATATTAGAAGCTTGGTATGACTATAACTATCCTGAGCACTAGTAAATATGTTTGGTTGGAGATATGTTCGCGACACACACACAGCACTTTAGCTCAATGTTGTCACACTCTACATCGTTAATTATAACAGGTTCATAGTTAATGATGGTCTCTACTGCTGTCATGTCATTTATAAAAATGAATGAATGTTGTCCTCCTGAAGTTACTTTGGTAGAGTTTTGAGGTGATGAAGGGTGTGGGGATTTGTGTGTTCTTCGTCTGTTCTGTTTTTCACCGACCCTCACTCTCACTTTCATCTGCTTGGTATTTTTACAACCTTTCATCATTCACTCATCAGAATTGATCCCCAAACAGCTTCTTAAATAGTAATTATTTATGATTGAGGCTTTGAGGTTGAAAAAGATTGAGGTGGATTGAACAGGCTTTAAGTAGCTGCATGTTTTCTCAGTGTGGAGGAAGGATTTCTTTCTATATATTTTCACTATATTTGAAGCAGTGGTTGTTGTGGTTTTGTTTTAGTGATCAGAAAGTTGGGAACATAAATCTGAGGTTGGAACCTTGAGCAGAACCCTTAAGGCTGCTGCGTGCAAAACTGGTCAGTGTTCTAAAAACACCCACTGACTCTAAGAAATGCGTCAGAATAAAGTGACTCATCAACTTGTAAAACAAAGGCTGTCGTTGGATTTTTATTTTTTTCAATAAACCACATGCACACAGATGGCCTCAAAGCTAGACTAATTGTGGGAAGTACATAAACCCAGCTCAGTGAAGTGGCATGTTGGGGTGTCTGGGTAAAGTTTATTAAAGCTGGGAATTATGGTTTGGAGGAGAAATGGAAATTCTGTAAGTAATCCGTGAATTTAAGGTTTACATGTTCTATTTACTACATGGATGTAATGTGCATAGTACACGCAGTGCGTTCAGTACATGTTTTGTTCAGTACACTGCCCTGAGTATCACTTTATAATCATAATGTAGGCTGTTATTGAAGCATATTTGCATTTTTGACTGTGTAGATATCTGAATACTCAACTCATTTTAGAGAACCACCAAACTAAACAAAATACATCATAATGCTTGAAGACAGTTTTAGTATTAAGTATTTCACACTGAAAGTGGAAGAAAAATAAAATTATTTAATCATGAAGTCATTTTTAAATGAGTTTTTTTAAGTGCCTCAGAAAAAGTGCTTTATAATTTGACACAATTTATTGTGATATCAAGATCATATCGCTCAGCCCTACCATCTGCCAGTTGTCTAAACATAATGGCTTCTGTCCATCATGTAACCATTTCTGTGTGACCTTGGGCAATCTCTTAAGCCTGATCGATAAGATATTGTGTTCCTCATGAGGCTACGTTCCTCCTGCCATTGGAAGTCAATGTTGTTGTTTATTGTTGTAAACCACGGTTGTCTGAGTGTATTTTTCCAGAAATAACCGAAAAAAGGATAAAAAGGCAATTTCAATACACATCAGACTATGTGAAAGTAAGTAATCCAAAAGCAGTAAGCTTGTTGAATCTTAGTGGACATTGAGGGGTTCTCTTATGGAGTCTGCTGTACTAATCAATAATGAAGTATTGATTATATATCTGAGTAACACTAGCAATCGCTTAATGTAACTCTGCCTGCTATATGTTTTATTTAATGCCAGCCCAACCCTGTCAATATGGCAGATAGAAATGAAAAGAAGCCTGTTAATGGTGTGTGTTTGTGTGTGTGTGTGTGTGTGTGTGAGAGAGAGAGAGAGAGAGAGAGAGAGAGAGTGCACTTGCAGTTTGGGCATGTATATTTATCACATATGTGTGGTATGCATATGGTATGTGTTTAAATGACAGTCATGCGATGTTCCTCTTTCGTGCTACCCAGGCCTTCTCTTCTGTCTTAACATCTTCCCGCCATCTCTAACTCTCCTTCTCTGTCCCTCCCTGAGGCCTTGGCCTGGGCAGGTGGAAGCTAAAGCTGGAATGCTGGGGAATGCACTCAGTATCGCTCATCATGCACATGCATGACCTACAGATCACGTCCCACCACTCACATGGCAAGCTGATATAGAAGAAGCGTGAGATAAGTCAGGACAGAGACAGGAATAGAGAGCAAGACATATAGATCCTGAGTGAAACTTCTGTGGGCTGGGGAGTATTTACACACTCCACTAGAGGTGAAGGCTAGCCTCTGTGTTGCTAAGGAGGGGCAGGTCAGAGGTCAAGCTGAGTGTTTTACTTGGGGTTTTGCAGCTCCTGGCTGGTGTGTGAGTACACAAAGCAGTGATGAGCACACTGATGATTTCCAGTAACCTCAGAACTGCTTCTCTGACAGGTTCAGCACACAGTTATCTGATTTTCCCTGGTGAGTAATTTCATTCCTTCATTCACAGTGGAAAGCACAGAGGCCACTTGGACTGACCGGCACACAGTCACCATCTCCTTCAGTTGGAATGATGCACAGAGGCCACGCCTTCTTCAACTGGAATGGTCAGCACAAAGGCCACGCCTCCTTCACTGGCATTGTTATACAGCATTCAGCTTACCTCGGAAGTGGGAATTGGGAAGTCGGAACTTGGAATTACATCATTTTCGACCTTTGTGTATTTGAGCTGCAAAGTGAAAAAAAAACATGGGCATCTCCCTGTTTGTCTTTTGTTAGCAACAAGCTAGCCAGCTAACTGTTATGAGTGATGTATATTTATATACTTCCTCAGAACAAAACTGTATAGCCAGTGTTCCAGATTTAACAAGTGAATGTGTCAGTATATCGATTGATCTAAACAAATACTTAACATATACAGCATATACAAATACTTAACATAAAACATATACAGCATAACTCATTTAAAGGTAAGAAGTGCTACTTTGTTTACAGTTGATGCTATGGGCGGCCATGTTGATTTGACGTCACTTGTTGAACTCAGGGTTGAGGAGACTGTCCATAATTTACAAGTAGAAATTCTGAGTTGAGGGGGCGTTTTCTTTTCTTTTTTTTTTTTTTTGTAATCAGAGTTTGGGAATTCCGAGTTACAAGTTTTAGTTGAATGCAGCAATAGGTACAAAGGCCACTCCTTCATCATTGGGATCTGATGGGCGCAAAGGCCACGCCTCCTTCAACTGGAGTGACATGCACAGGGTAACACTGTCTTTCTGTTTAGAACTGATAATCACAGAAGCCACCCCTCATTCACTGGAAAAGACAGGCCAGAAGCCACGCCTCTTTTAATGAAAGGGACTGGGACTATACCTCCTTCACAGGGGAATTAAAATATTAATAAAATATGAGCAATGAAACAATTTTAGGAATAGATGCTGTCCCAGCTTTAGTCTGATAAAATCACTGTTTTCTGTCATATAGTTAATCCTGAGATGAGTGCACTGATTCAAACTGGTGAATCTTTCCACCTCTTTTCTTTTTTCTTATGCTGTTTATTTTTAGTATTTTGGGAAAGTGTCACTTTTCTCTGTATAATATAAACCCTTGAATGTAGTGACTGACCACAAAGAACTGAACAAACACTTTAAGTATACACTTCCCTCGTGGCATCCCTACACTACACACAAATCTCACACCCTGTTTCCTCACATATTATTATGTCTACACGGCACACACTTTCACTATGCGTTTTAAATGCCAGTTTTCCATGCACACAAACACGTGAGCAAATAAATCTAACTTGTAAAGTGTCGGGTTAGAAAGGTCGGTCAAAATATGATTCCCTCAAGCCATCTTCTTCACACCCTCCTTTTTAAAGCCTTAATTAAAATAGTAGCCCGGAGCTGAGATGAGTGTGTAGGAGCACAGTGGGAACAGCTGGCCTCAGGATTTCTTCCTCCAACACTGAAGCTTCAGAATGTTTGTGATTTTGTTATCAGTGATGAAGTTGCAGCTTGAAAATACACTGTGGTGTATGTGGCAAGTATGTAGCTTCTGTTCCTTCTTTTTCAAATACAATGTGAATATTGGTAATGAAACATGCGCAGCTGGGCGTATCACGTCCTTGACATTTTAGCTTCTGACCAACTGCAATTAACAAATAAATTAAACAAAAAAAACCCATAAACAATATAGTTGTATAATTCTCATACATGCTTATTTGTATCCATGTATTTTGCTATTGTAGTTTATAGCTTCATGCATTTTGCTTAGTTTAATTTGTTTGCTTCCTTGTTTGTTTGGTTGTTTGTTTAAGGGCTAAGTTGCTAGGGCATTTGATCACCATGTTTTTGCTTCAGATCCAGCTTGTTAGTGGCCACATTTTTCATTTGGTTTAAAGCCAAAATATAAACACAGTATTGATTATGTTTGGATTTGCTGCTAGGCCTAAATTTGTCAAAAGTCAAAATAGTTTGCATGTGCGTTCTGAAGAGTTTCGTCTTCACGTGCATTTATTTTAAATAGCTTATTATAAAACTAATTTGTAGGCCTGTTTACCAAAACAGGGGCGGCGCAGTGGGTAGCATCAACACCTCATAGCTGTAGAGCCCTGGGTTCAATCCTGAGCTCTTCAATCCAGAGTACTGTATGTGTGGAGTTTCACATGTTCTTATACACAGTATAAGATGTTGTATTTGCTCAACCTAAGTTAGGAAAACCCACCTGCTTTAGATTCTGTTTTTGATATTAACATATAAGCACGAGATGTAATGAGAGTGAAAAAATAACTGGTTGGACAGATTAATGCACAACACTCA